TCCTCCTCCTCCTCCTCCCTCCTCCTCCTCCTCCTCCTCCTCCTCCTCCTCCTCCTCCTCCTCCTCCTGCCCCTTCACTTGCCTGTGATCGATACCGAAGGGCATGAGCATGAGCTTCAGATTCTGTTCAGCTGCAGTAATCGCCTTGTGCTGATCAAACTCGTCAGTGAGAGATCTGGTGGGGGGGCGAGGAGGAGGAGGAGGAGGAGGAGCAACAGCAATCATGTATCACCAGTGACTCTAAGATATTCCGAGAGACTTCAGTCGGCTCCTCATCCCCCACCGCCATCAGAACTTTCCTCATCCTGTCCGAGGAGAGGCAGAGCAGGTCAAGACCGTTAACAGGCTGTCAAGGTTCGGAGACCTGTGGCATTGACCAAGAAAGGCTTCGAACTCGGGGAAGTACTCGCCGTAGTAGTCGGCGATCATCTGCCGTCAGTCAGCCATGTCGACTCAGGTTGCTCGCACCTCCTCGACTCGCTCAGTCACGTTGAGAATCTCTTTCTTGCTCAGCAAGTCTCGTCGAACCCCCCGCAGGTCGAGAGGGTCGTTGAGCACAGCGATGTTGTCCCCGTCCCAGATCTCTTTCCTCGGCTCCTCCTCCTCGGACTCCTGCTCGCCAAGCTTCGTCCTCCCGTCTGCTCCATCCTCTGCTCGTCTGCTCGTCTGCTTCTCAGCAGCCCCACCAAAGCATCCGAGGCTTGACAGCCTGAGGCCCTGGAGGAGGCGGGGAAGCAGCTGACGGGCCTCCGCCGGTGAGGTGGAGGAGGACTGAAAGTTTCGACCCCACTCAACAACCTTGCGCAGCATCTTCATCGTCAGGCTTCCGCTCGTCGAGTTTTGATCCTCCGCGGGCACCGGAGGAGGCGAAGTCGCCTCGTCCTCGGCGTCGTAGCTGCAGCAGCCCATCACACAAGAGCATCAGCGGTCGGAGCTTACTCGTTGAGCATCCTCCTCTCTTCCGGCAGCAAGAAGCTTCCTCTTGGCAGCCAGTCCACAGGCACTGCTCCGCGCATGTCCTCCTCTGAATCTACGACAAGACGTTACGGAAGGTGCAAGGGAGCAATGGACAGCACCAATGTCCTCGAACTCAACCTCCTCCACCGGCTCCCCCGTCATGAAGTTGATGACCTTGAGCAGCAGAACCGTCACGAGCACACAGACAGCAAGACACACAAGCACCTGCCCGCGCCTTAACGACATCCCTCCCCGCACTCTCATGGGACATGCGATCTCCTTGTCTGCAGCTGCAAGCTGACGAGGCTTGAGCTGAGACCATTGGGCGCTTTTGCTGCTTGCGATGTTGCGGAGAGAAGGCTGAGCAAACAACGCATGAAGATTTGGAGGAACAGCTGACGAGGCCTCATCCCGCACTAGAAGATGGTCTGATAGCGCCGGAAAGCATGAGAGTAAGAGGAGGAGAAGGATTTTCATTCTTTATCGTCCTTGGCTGAGAGATGCCCTTCAGCAGAGACTCTACATCTCCATCCCTGACCTCCAGCTGCCGGACATGCTCAGCGCTCTTCGGCACAAAAGGTTCAGGCGGAGCTGAAGGAGACCGGGCGAGAGGCTCGATGCGAGAGGGAGAAGCGGGAGGCAGGTGAGAAGGAAAGGAGGGAGGCAAAGAATAGGAAAGACGCTGAGAAAGGATCGGGGCGAGAAGGAGAGTGATGAGGAGGGAGGGAGGAGGGAAGAGGAGAGGGAGACGAGGAGGGAGGGCAGGAGCGAACAGAGCAGGACATAGTCAAAAGCTACGCGACCATGGTGTTCGAAGAACAAGATGACCGGGTGCCTGCAAAAACGAGGAATATGATGGGTGGGGGTGGTCATTGGCATGGGGTGGAAAAAATTCTGCTCGGGGTGGGGTACTTGAACGATACAATTGTCAGGGTAGGGTGATGCAACAAAATTTTGAGGGGGTAGCAAGAATTGCACATGGACAATAGTAGGGTGGGGGTGTGATTGAACCTCTGATATAGGGGCAATTTTCCTTGAGATCGAAAGATTAAAGGTGGGTGGGGGTCAAAACAATTGGTAATTATGAGGGTGGGGTGTTTTTTAGAGGACTATCATTATGGGGTGGGGTAAATCACTGACCAAAAAGGGGGTACTCTAAGTGCGCCCGATCTTCTGATAGTCTTCTGTGGGGTACCCCTCTGCTTTGGGTGGGTACACCATGTGGGGTGATTCACATATGAAAAAAGCCTGCCTCGCTTTAGCAAGTAGCAGAAATATGGGGCAGCAAATGTATCTACTATAACTTTATTTGCTGCCTCATCTCCACCCCTCTCACGGATTGCCCGGGCCCGGGCAAGTGACCGGTGAGTGACTGCCGGGTCTAACTGTCGAGATTGCCGGACCCCACCAGGAGATCGAGAAATAAGTCGGACTACCCTCCTTTTACCACATAAATGCAGGCCTTTATGAGGTAGGGTACATACCCCTACCTGCAATGTCGAAGTTCCCAATGGAGACATGCTGTGAAGAGACGAAAGATAGAACAGGGGAAGCAGCAGCAGCAGCAGCAGCAGCAGCAGCAGCAGCAGCAGCAAGAGGTGCAGGAGCGGGTAATGAAAGGAAGCAAACAGAAAGGAGGAGCAAGGAGGAAGGCGAGAAGAGAGGAGGGAGGTGTACAACTAATCAACGATGCATGAGATCAGACAGGAGGGGCATAAGATGAGGAAGAGGAGGATGAAGAGAAGAGTGATCAACAGCTCTGTGAGCTATTGGGGATCACGAGCATCGAGCTCTTGTGCTCACTTACCTCTCGCCGCAGGTCATGGGCCCTTCTCTTGTCAACAGCAGCAGGAGGCGGATGCCGGCATAGTTGTGCGGCTCAGCATGTAGCACCAGCCTCCAGCACTGACCCCCCACCCCCCACCCCCCTCTCCGTCCCGCTATGGTGGCCGAGGCATCGAGCTTGAGTGAACCTCCGCATCGAAAGATGGAGAAGGAGGAGGAGGAGAAGATCGAGAGCTCGACCGCGCAAGCAGGAGATCTGAGCATCCTGTCCTTTGGTATGAAGACAGCTGCCGCTGCCTTCATCCTCTTCATCTTCGTACTCGCGGTTTCCCGCTGGCGTCCCCATTGGCGCATTACCAACTTGTTCGGCACTGTGGAGGATGTGGAGGAGGTGGAGGAGCTCTACGTGCTCGAGGCGTACCTGCAGCTCAAGAGTTTCTTCCTCCTCCTCCTCAGGATCCTCCCTCCCGTCATGTCGGTGCTGGTTGCGCTCTCCCCGCTGGAGGCCATGAGGAGGATCAGGGAGATGGGTTCGACAGGAAAGCTCTCTCCCCTCCCCTACACGATGATGAGCGTCAACGGCTCCCTGTGGCTCGCCTACGGCATCCTCACTCAAGACGTGACCATGTGCGTCCCAAACTTCTTCTCCACCATCTGCGGCGTCGTCTACCTCCTCATCTTCTCTCGCTACCAACGCTCCTCCTCCTCCTCCGAGATCTACGTGCTTGGAGGCGTCGTTGTAACCACCTCTGCTGTTGTTGCTGCCTTCCTCCTGCCTCGCCCGGAAGCCATTGACATGATCGGTTAATACTCTCTTCTCCTCTTCCTCTTCCTCTTCCACGCCGCTTCCTTCCCTTCTTCCTCCTCTTCAACTTGCCGGAGGTAACATTTCCTGCAGGTCAGATCGGATCTCTAGTGCAGGTGCCTTGCTCCTCCTCCTCCCTCCTTCCCTCCCATCTCACTCACTCACTCACTCACTCCTTGCTCCTCCCCCTCCCCTCCACTGTCTCCTCCCGCCTGATCCTCTCCAGGTCCTCATGTCTTCCTCGCCGCTCGTCGTCATCCGGGATGTCTTCGCCACCAAGTCAACCGCCGCCATGTCGGTGAGTGCGAGGGGATGAAGATGAAACCTCCCACTCACCTCCCGCAGGTTGGCTTCACTGTAGCTTCCTTCCTCTCCTGCTCCGTGTGGACCCTCTATGGAGGTGGAAGATTCTCATCAACCTCTCTCCTCCTCCTCCTCCTCCTCCTCCTCCTCCTCCCTCCTCTCTCCAGTCTCTCCTCCTCCTTCCCTCTACTACGTTCCCTCTACTACGTTTATTCCTCCTCCCGTCTACCTTGTGCGGTGTCTTCTCCACTGCCCTCCATGATGAGGATGCAGTTCTCGTCGCGCGAGACCTCTATGTCTGGGCCCCCAACTTCGTCGCTCTGCTCGCAGTTATGGCGCAACTCTCTCTCTTCTTCTGTTACGGTCTCCCGCCCAAGCCGGCGAGCAAGCACGTCGAGCTACAGGACATGAAGGTATGGAGAACCCTCCCTCCCTCCCTCCCTCCCTCCCTCCCTCACCTCCCTCCCTCCCTCCCTCCCTCCCTCTCCCTCTCCCTCTCCCTCTCCCTCTCCCTCTCCCTCTCCCTCTCCCTCTCCCTCTCCCTCTCCCTCTCCTGCATCTCAGCCGCGTTCTCCTTCCTTCCGCTTTCTCATAGTTTTCCTCAGCACGTTTCAAGTCCACAAGGAGACGGAGGGGCGCGACACGCATAGGGAGCAGCGACTAGTCACGAGCATGCGATCTCACGTGTATAAAACCTCCTTCTCTTCTCCTCTCACTTCTTCCTCTGCTTGAGCTCCTCTTGCATTGCCGAAAGCGTCTCCGTGTTTCCATATTTCCTGCTGGGGCTCAGCACGACTGCAGCTGGGGCTTCTTCTCACCTTGCAAGGTCCATGGCGGACCCGAGCTTGCATCGCTTGTGCGGGTCTCCCCCGCTCTTTACCAGCAGCCTTCCGCCTCCCTCAGCAACAACCCCAGCTGTCCTCCACCCCTCACCTTGCAAGTTCCGTCTGACCCTTGATGGCCGCCAGATGGAGAGCCGAGTACTTCTCCTTGTAGGGGCACTGCCACGAACTCAGCTTCCTCCTCCTCCTCCTTCCCCCGCTGCCCTTCCCCTCCTCCACCACCACCACCACCACCCTTCTCCTCCCCTCCTTCCCTCCTTCACTGCCATCCCCTTGCTCTCCTCCCATCCCCTTGTTCTCCTCACCGGGTAGTTGGGGTCAGCTCCTATGCGCAGCAGCTTCTCTGCATAGGAAGGATCTGCTCCATCCTGCGAATCTTTGAGGCCACCGGCATCTGCAGGAGGACGAGGACGAGGACGAGGACGAGGACGAGGAATGGGAGAAAGGAGAGGAGGAGGATCAGTCACCTTGGCAACCTCGATGAGCGAGAGGCCCATGGCGGCCTTGGGATCTTTCTCCCACAACGTGTTTCTCACGTTCACCTTGCCCCCGCTGTAGGGCATCCCATACTTGGTGTCCCCCAGCCGCAATGGCGACATCTCTAGCACAAAGTACCTGCTCGACACTCACCAAGCATCCAACCTTCCTCCTTCCTCCCCCATATCCCTTTCCTCCTTCCTCCCCCATATCCCTTTCCTCCTTCCTCCCCCATATCCCTTTCCTCCTTCCTCCCCCATATCCCTCCACTGCTCCGCCGTCTTCCTCTTCTTCTGCTTCTACTTCTTCTACTTCTACAACTTCCTCTTCTACCTCCTCCTCCACCTCCTCCTCTCCCTCACTATCTTCCTCTCCCCCCACCCTTTCCTCTCCTTGTCCCCTCTTCCGGGTGCGTCATTGCGGTACCAAGGCAAGCGCTTCACATCAGCCTCCGTCAGAAGGAGCTTCTCCTTGTTGGTAGGAAGAACGTCCGTGACGCCTCCTCCTCTGCTTCTTGTGAGTTCACAGCCATGGGGAGGGATGCCAGCACCTGATGCGCATGACGCTGGAAGGTGAAGCGACTGCGAGGAAGGCGAGCAGTAGAAAACAGAGCAAGCGACCTGCTGGAGCGAGCATGAGACATCTCTTTGCTCAAGTGAGACAGACTGCAACATGGAGGAGGAGGAGGAGGAGGAGGAGGATGCAAGGAGGAGTGGGGTTGGGAATTACAGTAGCGAGGTGAGATGACGGGGGTAGGGTCAGCAACGAGCAAGAAGAACGAGGAGGAGAGGAGGAAGAACATGGAGGATCTTCATATCACAAGTCGACAAGAGGGGGAGCAGGAGGAGGACGAGCTCGCAGCAGCAGCAGCAGCTGTTCTCGCCTGTATCCGCCATGGTGGCCTCTGCGGTGCAATTGGAGGGGTGGGGTCCAGCACCTGAACATTTTTAAAATGGGGGGGTAGGGTCTGAATATATATCATGTCATGGGGTACTGAGAAAAGTAGGGGGTAGAAGGGAAGGGGGTGGGGTGGGGTAATTTTAGTTCGGGGGCAGCAGCAAGCGAAATGCTTGGCAGTGCGTGGACGAGTGCAAGATCGGCGGCAGTGGAGGCAGCGGAGGCAGCAGCACGAGGAGGAGGAAGAGGAGGAAGAGGAGGTGGAAGACAAGTCAGAAGATTAGGACTAGCAAGACGAGGAGTTGGTGTACAGGTTCCATCAGTGCGAGCAGGATGGGGTTGGTTGCAGCAGTCTTGGAGCAGGAGGTTCTGCGCAGGCGCTCACGATGGGGAGACACGAGATGGGACGAGAGGGCTGACGCATGTGGACGAGAAGGGAAGGCCGCAGATGGTAGAGGTTGGAAGCAAGCAGGTGAGCCAGCGAGTAGCGACAGCGTCAGCTCTCTTGTGGGCCCCTGACGAAGTAATGAGCCTGCTGGACCAGAGCACAGGGGAGATGCAGGGTAGAAAGGGGCCGGTGATCGCCACGGCTATCATAGCCGGAACGATGGCGGCGAAGAAGACGCACGAGCTGATTCCTCTGTGTCACCCGCTCATGATCGAGGGATGCAGTCTGGAGGCTGAGCGCGTGGGGAAGAACGAGCTCAAGCTGTGGTGTACCGTTCGGACTAGTGGCAAGACGGGGGTGGAGATGGAGGCGCTGACGGGCGTGAGGTAGAGCTGAGCTGAGCGCTACCAGCATCTCCTGACCTCCTGCAGTGTCGCGGCTCTGACCGTCTATGACATGTGCAAGGCCCTCTCGCACGACATGGTAGGAGATGCTCGCACAGGTCAGCCGGTAACGCCGTGCCACAGGTGATCAAGGAGACGAGGCTGGAGCGAAAGACAGGAGGGAAATCAGATTTCTCACGAGAGCAGCGTGAGCTGTGAGATAGAGGAGCTTCAGCTGAAATGAGTGTCGCTGCCTTTCATGTCGACTGCACGTTACTGGTGGAACTTCTTCCCCTGCTTTGCCATGTCCACAAGCAGCGGAGCCGGACTGAAGCGAGCACCATGCTTGTCCGCAAGCCTGCGCATGATTGTATTACTCTTGCTGGCTCTCTTCTCATCTTGTTCTCTGCTCACCTGTTGAGCTCGTCGACGTACTTGCTCACTCCGATGCGATCGACATACCGGAACTTCTGAAAGTCAGACAACGCCCCAGCATTAGCTAGCTCACCGGTCCTCCGGTGAATGGGGGGAACCCTACACCAAAAATGGCAGCCACATCGCCATCCTGTGCGCTGCGGATAACACCGTCCTGATAAAGCTTCACGAGATTGGCAGGTAGTGGTGTGAGGAACCTGAAGGCAGAAAATTGCCTCATTGATAAACCTCGCGCTCATTCGCAACGAGATCTCTTCCTCATCAATCTACCATTCGCATGGTCAGCTCAACGACTCATCTTCCATCACCTCATGCCTTTCCGGGCTTCATGAAAGGCTTCATCGCCTCAAGCGCCACGGGATTGGGAGTGGGAGATGGCTTGGAAGCAAACGGATTCAAGGCAGCAAGTCCACTGCAACAAACCAACATGAGATAAGGCAAAGGAGAGTGCAATCGTACTACCTGGCCTTCTTGGGAGGATACACGAGGAAACCGCATCCGAACCTCTGCTCCTCGTCAAACGTGATAACAGAAAGCAATCTGAGTGAGAACCTTGCCCTTGATGCCCGCAGCCTTGATAGCCTTCATCGCTTCGATGTTGGCTCCAGACCTGAAGGAGGTATGAGGAAACTCAACAACCAGACGATACTCTCACATGCGAACGCCAAGGTCTTGAATGAGGTTGTTGTGAAGATGAAACGCGACATCAACACCAACCTCGTCAGCCAACACCTGTTTGATGGTTACGATATGTTCAAGCACAATCGGTTTGACCCAACCATAGGGCCGACAGGGAAGCCGAACTTCTTGAGAGCTTTGTCCAGCTACAGATTACAAGTGAGAAAACGATTAGGTCATCACCACGGATGGTCGGCAGAAGCAACAAGCACCTTAAGAATGTCATCCACCTCAAATGCAAGTACCATCGACTCATCAATGTACGGACCCAAACACCTGACATGCTCGTCAAACGAGTTGACGCAGCATCATTCAAGTCTGCACCGATTCACGAAGAACCCAGGAACGTCTTTGCAAACGATAGGCAGCTTTCCTTGTTTGAGTCCCAGCTGGACAGCAGTGGCAATGACCTGTCCCTTTTCTCAGCACTCATTCAGTTTCAACACAAAGTCATGAGCACTTTTTCGTCCGTGGTCTCGTGAGGAATGATTTCCAAAAGCTAAACGCAAACAAAGCAATCAGAGCACAATCTGACAAACAGCCTGAAACGCACCTGCATCTTGGGAACCGGAGAGAAATAATGCATTCCAACAATATTGTGTGGTCTATGCAAGTGTGATGCAAGAGAACAGGCCCGCTGACGCCCATACCTCGAGGAAAACTTGGCGATCTCAGACACCGGCAACGAGGACGTGTTGGTTGCGATGATACAATCAGGCTGATTCCGTGCAGGATAAGGACCCTTAGGAGAAAGCAGACAAATCACCTTGCAAATAGACTCCATCTCCTCGACTATCTTATGCTTCAAGGACAAATCCTCAAACACGGCCTTTGCACCAGTCAGGTGATCTTGGCATACACGAAGAGAAAGAATGCGGCTCACCTCTACCACAAGATCACACTGCTTGATATGATCCTTCCAAGAAGGCCTACGAAGTATTGTCAAGAAGCTACTTGACTGCAAGGTTGAAGGATTTCACATGTCATTGTGCACTCCGATCAGTCTGGACATAGTCACGTCTTTTTCGAAACTGGTCATTCGCTTCTTTTTGACCTGTTGAACATAGTAAATCAAACCAGTCGACCTCACTCAGGAAAAAGACCTTGTCCTGCATGCTCTTTTGAATGTTTGTTTCCCCAACTGACAATCCTTTCGCTGATACGTCTTTGAGAACTACTGGAACTCCCTTCGCGATGGTGACCTGTTGGACAATTTCAATCCAAAATGAAATCAGTGTCAAATTTTGATTTACCTCCGCAATGCCAGAGCCCATCAATCCTGCACCAAGCACACCCACCTGTACCCAAACTTAGCCGTGGCACCTTGTAGCTGCCAGTGACCTTCTTCACGTCCATTGCTCCAGAGAATGGATTTTTCTTAACAGATGTCTGGAAATTTTTGTCAAATCCTTCTTGTTGACATTCTGGAATTTCAAGATCACCTGTCCAAAAAATAAAGACCTAAGCCCCGAACTTTCTTTAGTAAGAGCTAGTTCCGCGAATGCATCGGCCTCCATCTCGTAACCCTGCGCCCAACCAATTTAAGTATATAGTAATTATGTAAATAAATAAAGTCTGAGTACCTGATCCTTTCCGAGAGCATTTTTTGCGATACTTCCCTCAAGGACTTCAATAATCTGAAACAGCTCGTTAAAAGGCAACAAGGCTCACAACGTTCAAGATACCTTGATGGGAGCAGGATAGTTTCCGTTCGTTTGCTTGAGAGCCTGCAGCACGTCAAGCCATTCAGACATCAACTTGAACAGCAGTGCAAATATTCTTCAACCATTTTGCGAGCTTGTCCAAAATAGAAATCGCGAAGGAAAGAATAACTTTTGATTCCATCTTCGAAGTACTGAGCATTCTGTCAGGGACCAATCTCTTTAACGAATTCTTACAGCGCTCATCCATGGCAACTCTCCGCGCTTCGGCAGTTTCATTTCTCCTGTTTTGCTTGTGAAATTCAAATCTACGAGCAGAAAGGCAATGATACAAATGTGCATAATTCGTACCTTTGTTGAGAAGTCGTGCTGTTGCTAAGGCACATTGTAGCAGCTTTGTCGCATCTTGCGTCAGCCCCTATCCAAACTCAAATACGTGATGGAACCTGCCCGGGGTCGCAGGTTTGATCCACTAATTTGAGTTTCTTTGCCTGTCAGAAAAAGAGCATCGCTGTCACATTCGCTGGCTTGTGTTGCAAGCCATGCCTGTTGAGCAGTCTTGCTTCCGCCTGTCATGATCATTGGGAGGGCATCCTAAATATGCCATCACTTTCACATGGGTAATCATTCAACGTTCACCTGGACGCCAATGAGTTTGGGCAACCGTTGCGTCCCACCGGCACCAGGGAGCAATCCAAGCATGACCTAGCCGCAATCATTATGTGAAAATCGATGTATTCAAGATTTGAACCTCAGGAAATCCGATAGCAGTCGAAGGATTGACGCTTGCAATCCTATTTCGATCTCAACACGACCGTGAGCTTACTTGTCTTCTCACCTGTAGTGGCAGGCCAGAGCAAATTCTGCACCACCGCCTGTGAGTTTTGTTAGACTGCAACTTGGGGTTCATGAGTATCGACTACCGAGGCAGCTTCCATCAATGGCTGCAATTTTCACTTTTCCCTGTGTGTGTGCTCAGCTACTCTCACAAAGGAAAACCTAGAATCGCACTTTCTCCATTCGGTCGAAGAATCCCTGAGTGAGCTGACACACCTGGATTGAGTGTGAGGTGATGGCCACAAAGAACCTCAAGGACAAGGTAGCACCTGCTTCTTGATCGCATCTTTTCCCTGAACAGCAATCTCATCGAAGATGTTGATATCTGCTCCCGCGATGAAGTTGTTCTTCTTTGCCGAAATGAAGATGACACTCTTGACGTGTGGATCCTGAATTATGACTCAGATAATGTGCGACATGGAGGTCACATCCACGTTCTCCAAGGTTTCAAGTATCGGCGGCAGCTCCGTCAACAAAGCTTTGCCCAGGGTGTTCACTTTGGAGTTCTTGATGTCCAGCGAGACAACAGCGATTCCGTCGTCATGCATGGACACACTGACATTCTCTGCTTGCCGGTCATTGACATACCCAGCATGTAATTGAAGGTCGCACCTGAACTTGCAGTGGACATCATCCGTTGTATCATTCGGTATCCTGTTGTAATCCAGTTAGAACTCCCGGCAAGCTCATGAAATGCACGCCGAGAAAGCAGGCGCGGGTATGCTGAGCGGTTGTTATGCACACTTGAACGACAAACGAGGAGGTAAATTGAAAGACAATTGAGCATTTGAAGCCGTTGGATCCAGACAGAAGCAGTGAAGTTGAACAAAAGAGAGAATGTGTTTTGAGGCAGAAAGGATTGTAGAAGGAGCAGAGAAGAGGAGAGAAGATATCATAAGACAACACAAGGGATCACAACAGCTCACAAGGGATCACAGCAGCTAACAAGGGATCACAGCATCAAGAACTAAGAGAACGGAATGGAGGAGGAGATATTCTCTTGCCTTGCCGCAGCGCGGGAGGACGAGGGAGGCGCCTTCCCATGAGCATGATGATACGTCCCTCACTTTGCTTCTGCTGCAGCAAAAAAAGAATAAGTCAGGAGTCAGGGGGTACTTGAAATTTGACGGGGGTGGTACAAAGTGGGGGTAGTTTACCCCTTCAAATACCACATGAAGGAAGGGAGAGTACCCCCTACTCAACAGACTTACCTTCAAGGGGTGGTGATGCTAAAGAGTAACACAAAGGGGTATGGTAGGAGGAGGTAAAGACAGTAAAATTTGTCATAGATAATATTTTTGCTGTCTCACAGACTGTGCACATCTTGGACTCTATTCTTTTTTAGTCTTCTGGCTCTCACGGGTCGCAGCAATCCCCTCATTGCCAGCTCCTTTAGCGCGAATGTGGAACGCGCGGCCGGGCCGGGTTCAACGACTCGTCAAGCCCGGCTTACGGTCGCCGGTCCGACCGGGTCCCGGCCGCCGGGCCCCCGGGGGCAAAAACTGCGGCGGCCGGGCCCGTCCGGGCCGGGCGCGGCCGGGTACAGTCACTCGGTTGAAGTCACTGTCGGACTCCTCATGGGATTGGCCGCGGAGAGGAAAACTAGCTGTGACTGTCAGAGGAGTAACAATCTCGCGGCTGAGGTTGGTCGGGGATGAGGGTCTTATCCGATGGAACTTGTGCCAGCCCTGATGGTGGCCAGTGACTCGACCGGGTGATCCCATCATCGGATCCGATGATCGGTCCCGGCCGCCCGCACCCGGTGACGGCGGCGTACGGCCGGGCCCAGGGCTTAGCGGAACGGACGGACCGTGCGGCTGCGCGGCGGCCGGGACGGCGGACCGATCATCGGAGTCACTGAGCGGTGACTCGCCCGTGCCGCGCGGAGGCTACAGTGACAATGACAAGGGTTGGTAATCAAAGTTTGGCAAAGAAACCTCCGGTACCGCGACGGAAGTGTAGCGTACGGTAGCCGGGCTGACACTTCCGCATGGCAGGAGATTTCGGCGATCAAATTAGATCGAACCCAAGAATGACGATCACCCATGATGACGATGCCGATAATATTGATGATGGAGATGATGGAGATGATGGAGATGATGATGACTCAGTGAGCATGATGGTGGTGGTCGGTGGTGATGATGATGATGATGACGATGGAGATGATGATGATGATGATGATGATAAGCTGGAGAGTGAAGTGGTAGCACAAGTGATTGCTTTGACCATTTCAACGCTAAGAATGGAGGAGAAGCTCTCGCTGCTTCATGATGGAGCTAACAATCATTCTGACAGGAGGACCCTGTTGTTGTTCAAAGAATCCTTAACCGCTCTAAGATTGCCGAGTTTGGAATTTCCGACGAGCTTGTCAGGCAGGGATGACATCAGAGTACTACCACATTCCTCCCCCTCCCTTCTCCTCGCTGCTCCCTTCTTCTCCCTTCCTCGTCCTATCTCATCTTTCATCTCATTTTCTCTCTCTCAGGGAATTCTTGAAAGCGTCACTATCCGCGGGTCTTTCGAGACCAACCGCTTCTGATCCTACAGGACGGCTTAGAAACTTCCGATCTCTCAGTAAATCTCATGTGATGATCCGGACCCACCCCTCAGGTGTGCCTTGGCGACTCCCGGACGTTCAGTGTCAGGCTCCCGGAGTACTACCGGCGGTCCGACTCCAGGCCATGACAGTGTCGGCATCAGATCAAGGAGTTCAGAGGGTCGGGGTGTAGTCAAGCTTCATGGAATACCAAGGGAACCACCAGACTCAACTCATGTCAACCTCCCCGCCTTCAACAGCTCAGCAACCACGCAGCGTGCACCTGTGCCATCTTGTCGCATATGCCGCCGGGAGGCTGGCGTCAGCCCATACTGTGCTGGTCTCTATTCAAGCTTGCCCTCGCAGGTCAACGACCACTATTGTGATGTTGTCTTCGCGTCGATCGATGAGCTTCTGCAACTCTTCTGCCGGATTCTCTTCTTCCGTCAGGGTGTCGAGACGCCGAGCCACAGCTTCGTTTGTCACGGTTGCCCATAATCCGTCGCTGGCAATCACCAGAAACTTGTGCTGCTTCGTGAGCAAGAGCTCCTTTATCTCAGGGTCTGGTATGATGCAATCATCTATGGGTATCCAAGTCTTTGTTTCGTAATCGCGCTTTTGCTTGAGACTTCTGTCGCCTATGCATCGAGACATGGCGAGCCCTCTGACTCGGTTGATGGACCTTCCGTTGATTGTATAGCTTTCAATGCCCTCATTGTTGGTTTTAATGCGCTTCCGTTCCTGGGGCTCAGACGGGTCGTGATCAGTGCTCATCGGCATGGGCTCTCCCTCACCGCAGATGATCGCCCGGCAGTCTCCAGCATTCGCCACGAAGAGACGATCTCCATCGATCACTGCCAGGATTGCTGAGCTGCCATCGTCCCAAGGCTGTGCTAGCGCTCTCTTCTCGGCCTCAAGGAAGCTGCTTGTCAGGCTGGCTCCCAATGCGCTGTCTTGAGGGCCCGACCTCTGCATGATCTGGTCTGTCAGTATCCCTACGATCTCTGTGCTCAGCAGCTTGGCAGCGCGATCACCAGAGTGTCCGTCGAAAACCCCGAACACGTGTTTGTCGTTGTGGAAGCTAAGCTGCGCCACATGCGTATCCTCCATGTCCAGCCTTTCGCCCCGATCTTCATAAATCCAAAAGCGAGGCAGTGGCCTGCTGCCTTGGCCCGAGTTTGTGGCGGCTGTGGGCTCTGAGGAGATCGCGATGTTCTGCTCGTCTCTTTCCTCTGACTTCAATCCTGAATCTTCCTGACTCACAGGTGCCCTCACGCCGTCAAGTTGGCTGAGGTCATTTGACTTCGACAGAGGACAATCTTCTTGCTCCTGGAAACATCCAATCAACAAATCAAGTCGGCGATCTCATCAGCAAACACAGCAAACTGAGTACAAGAGGCTCGCTGCACAGGCAACAAGTGCGTACGCGACAGTGGGAGCATCGTGTACCATGAATGGCGGATCCGACAAAGGCTGGTAGGATTGGCCGCGGAGAGGAAAACCAGGTAGCTGTGACGGTCAGATGAGTAAAAATCTCGGCCGAGGTTGGTCGGGGATGAGGGGCCCGGCCTATGAGGAGTCCGATTGAATGGGTGCCAGTCACGACAGGCTGAGAAGCTCAATCTGACGCGACTCGGCGAGGCCGAGAGACCGCCGCCAGCATGCCATGATGATGGGACACGCCGGGGCCAGCGCCGATCCGCCGTGGCGCCACACGGCGGCCCGGAATCGCAGCGCGGCGCAACGCAAGTGCCATCCGGGGGCCGACTCGGCCCTAGTACCGTACGGTAACCAAGTCACAGGCTGAGTACTCTCCGAGGCTCCGCCGGGCCCCGCCCGGCCGGCCCGCCGGAATAATGAGGAGCCTGGCAACCATTTGACCTGGTTTAGCAATACATTGGGTTAAAATTGAACTTGTCAGATGAATTTTCAAATTTTCAAAATTTGAATTAGAGCTTGACATGCTCGGTTTGTCATAGAGCGGTCAGGACTCTACTGACTCAGGGAGATGGCGGGAAGAGGAGCAGCGAGGAGGCAGCTCGAGGCGCTAAGAGGCTTCGACTCCACAAGATCCTCTGAGGACAAGCCTCTCCTCTTCACTCCCACTCATCCCTACCATGCTCTCTCCCAGCAGAGCTCTCTGGCAGACAAGGCAAGAGCAAGGCGAGAGACGGCAGCGGGCTCCTTCGGTCGTCGACTCCTCCTCCGCCGAGTTACAAGCATCCTCTCGTGCTGGCGAGATGTCACGCTAGCGGACAAGCAGCCCAACAAGAGGAACGTGCAGACGCTTGTCCAGAGCCCAACCCGCATGTCAGCTCACTCTATGCACCACCTGCTAGCCAGCAGAACGCCGTCAGAAGAGGAGGCGCATGGAGATCGGATGCATGAGGACGAGAGAGAAGAACAAGCTCAGGCATCAGCAAGGAGGGGAGCTGAACACCACGAGGACGAGAACAAGAAGAAGCAGGAGTATATTTTGGACACAATGGTGGATATTGAGATTGTTCCTGTAAGCAGGAAACAGCGAGCCATCCTCTTAGCTGCTGAGCGTCTAGTGCGGGTGTGTGCTGCTATCTTCCGGGCATGGGCGATCGTCCGGTCTAGACCGCCGCATGGCGACATGGGCGCATGGAGTCATGCGCGAAAGAGGATGGCGTTGAGGCGGCTACAAGATGAGAACGCGATCCTCGCGCTGCTGGAGGAGGAGGGGATGAGCCGACTGGCTGGGGACGAGACTCTGATCCGCCTCCTCGCCCCCTGCGACCACTTCGACTTCCGTGAGAAGGAGGTGGGGAGCGAGCTGAGCTTCGGGTCCGAGCACGGGAGCAGCTTCTCGGGGGACTCAGGGGTGAGCATACGGCAGGCCTTCTCGAGGAAGTTGTGCATCGTCTTGGAGGGATCCTGCCAGGCTCAAGTCCGTGGGCAGGAGAAGGCAGAGGAGAGAGCTTGCTACAGCTCGACGAGCCGCCGACGGCAGCAAGGGGAGGGTAGATGGATTGAACTGAGGGCAGGGGACACGTTCGGGTACGGGAAGGAGCTGTGCGGGGGAAGCGTGGTCGGGGTGCGGTGCATCCTGACGAGCTCGTTGCGATGGCGCGACGTGGCCAACGTACGAGCAGCAGGAAGAGACGGGACGAGCAGAGAGAGCCCGTGCGTCATCCTGGTGGTAGAGAGAGTCTGCTTCCAAGAGCTGCTGCTGCCTGCCATGTACCGACAGCGCGACGGGCTCGCTGCCCTTGTGCGAAAGAACGTCATGCTGAGCAGCCTCGCTGATGCCGAAGCCTTTCAGTTACTGGACAACTCGAGCCTGTTGCATGTGGAGGAGGGAGAGACGGTGGAGGAGGAAGGGAGTAGCCAGGGGCTCGGCCTCTACATCCTTCTGATGGGAAGCGTCAAGATCAGTAAGAGAGACCCACGGACGGGTCAGTCTGTTCCCCTTGCAAGGCTCGTTGCTTCTCCTCTTTCCCTCCTCTCACCTTCTTTCAGGCTCGAGCACAGGGGCGATCGCTTCGGCACCACCATCATGACCGCCAGCTGGTGCTCTTCCTCCGCCGCATCCGCCGCCTCTCTCCTGCATATCCCTCAAGCACTCGCCGTGCAGACGCTGAGGGATCACGGCAAGTTTGCGGCGCACAAGGCGATGGAGCTGTTCGCGTACGAGCAGTGGGAGCGAGCGCTGCGATGGTTCACTGCCCTCCTTGCAGCTGCAGCTGACGTGGCAGCAGGTACGGGAAGCGAACAGGAGTGATCGAGGAGTTGAGCAGTTTGCAAGGGGATCTGCTGGGACGGATGCGGCTGCTGACCGAAGAGCTGGAGGAGACGGCAGGTGACGCTCGTCTCTGTCCTCGCAGTGAGAGGACTAGCAGATGAAGGCGGCGGGCCCGGGGAGGAAGCAAAGCCTGTCGGCCATCAGCTCAGCCTGTGTGTTGAGCAACGCGAGACAAGTAGCAGAGGCGCTGTCGCGGTATGCTCGACCTCGCCTCTCTCTCCTCCTCGCTCCTCACTTGGATCTTCTCTCCCCTCCCCCTCCCCCATGCAGGTGCTGTGAAGTTTCCCTGGACGCTCTTTCGCCGCATCCTCGCGCTACCTGGCAGGAAGTTTTCCTCGCGTCCCTCGAGCCTCTTCCTCCTCTCGCTGCCAACGCCACCAACTCCGTCCGAGCCCTCCGGGCGCTGAGCAGTCTCAAGGTGCACAAGGAGCTTCGCGGGCTGGTGGAGGAGGTCGAGAGGAGGCATCGCGACTCCGTGCCGGACATTCTCCGAGCCTCCGCCGCCTGCCTGCCGAAGATGCTGAGGGCGATGAGGCAGTTGGAGGCGCTTCTCTTCCACGAGCAGGAGGTGAAGCTGGTGGGAGCACCGGGACGAGGACAAGAGCAAGAGACGGGGGGAGGGACGGAGAGGAGCACAAGCAGCGGCGGGGAAGCGAAAGAAGCTCTGAGGCGAGAGAGAGAGTCGTTCCTCGCCTCCTACGACATGTATCGCTCGCACTCCAAGGACATCCTCCTCCACCTCAAGCGCTCGCAGCACCTGGCGAGGTGACGGCAGGAGCGAGAGGCTGCTGCTCTCTCACAGGCAGCAGGTGCGTGATGAGAGCCAAGAATGAGCTGAAGGGGCTCGTGCGAGGACACAGAGACATCGTGAAGATGGGGTTCCTGTGGCAGGGACTCCACTCCGACCACAGGTCCTCCTCCTTCTCCCCCCCCTCCTCCTTCTCCCCCCCCTCCTCCTTCTCCCCCCCCTCCTCCTTCTCCCCCCTCTCCTCCTTCTCCCCCCTCTCCTCCTTCTCCCATGTTTCAGGATCTGTGTCAATCGCTCACATGTCGCAGCATTCGGTTCTTCCAGACCGACCGAGCTGGATCGGCGGCACCGCACTGCGAGGAGCGACTCTGTTCGGTAAGAGACAAGAGGAGGAGGAGGAGGAGAAGCTGACGGAGGAAGCAGGTGGTCCTCTTCACCGACGCAGTGAGCTCCTCTCTCTCTCTCTCTCTCTCTCTCTCTCTCTCTCTCTCTCTCTCTCTCTCTCTCTCTCTCTCTCTCTCTCTCTCTCTCTCTCTCTCTCTCTCTCTCTCTCTCTCTCTCTCTCTCTCTCTCTCTCTCTCTCTCTCTCTTTCGTCTGATCCCTTACAGATCCTCATCGGCCTCCTCAAGCCTCAAACTTCCTCCCGTCTCTCCCTCGACGACGAAGATGCGTCATCTCGAACTCGGTCATGCCCAGAAGACCTCGAGGTGCTGGAGGAGGAAGAGCAGGAGAAGGAGGAGGAGAGGGAGGAGGATGTGAGGGAGGATACGGAACGTGTGTCTCGGCACTTTGAGGGCATGGATCCCGACGAGATTGTCCTCATGCATCTCCTCGGTCTCTCCGCCTGCGCCGTCACCTGCGCCGTCACCCCCAAGACTCTCTCAGCTCGCGACCTTCGCCTTGCCCTCCGCTCGCGCGGGCTTGCCGACATGTCGCATCCTCTCAACATGCCGCACATGGCCATCGGGCATGGCGTGAGCTCTCGCCCCTCCTCCTCTCCCTCCGCTTGCTGACCGAGGCGGCAGGTGGCTCTCAGGGACGGGTGCGGCCGCACTGTGCTGCTGCGAGCGAGGAGCAAGAGGGAGAGGGACGACTGGCTGCTGGCGTTGGAGAAGAGCATCCGCGAGACATACGCGCGCATCAAAGACCCGTACCTCCTTTAATGCACACGCGCTCCTCCCTCCTCCTCCTCCTCTACCTCCTCCCTCCGTTCCATCGGCTTCTTCCTCGCTCGCCGAGAGAAGTGCAGTCCTCGCTTGAACGCGAACTCCTCACGCAGCTCGTCCTCCACCTGCGCATCTCACGAGTCAACCAGCAGCGAGCACGAGAGGAGCTTGAGAGCAGCAGTCTCTCTCACGTTCTGTAGGCGGAGGTCGAGTATGCTCTGCAAGCTAACGAGACTGGCCGAAACCTCCCGGAACCTCTCCCGCATCTTCGCTACATCAGTCGCATCCTGCAACCGATCCCGGCGCCTTCGGGAGGCTGAGGGAGGAGCCGGTAGGGAGGCTGAGGGAGAAGCCGGTAGGGATGGCTGGTCAGGAGGAGGGTTACCTCGCTTGCTCTCCGACAAGTTGCTATTGCTGTTCTCCTTGCTGTCCACCAGCCGCAGCCTCAGCTCACGGAACTCCTCCTTCTCCTGCAGCTTCACTCGTATCTCCTCCTCCTTCTCCTGCAGCTTCACTCGCATCTCCTCCTCCTTCTCCTGCAGCTTCACTCGCATCTCCTCCTCCTTCTCCTGCAGCTTCACTCGCATCTCCTCCTCCTTCTCCTGCAGCTTCACTCGCATCTCCTCCTCCTTCTCCCTCAGCTTCACTCGCATCTCCTCCGCTACCCCTTGAGTGTCTTCCAGCTCTTTGCTGATCCTCTCGCTGAGCGCCAGCTGGAGCGTGAGGTCACGTCGGCACCGAGAGAGCTCGCTCCTGCACGACCCCAGCTCGCTCCTGCACGACCCCAGCTCGCTGTGCACCTCAGCCGTCTTGCTCGTCGCCTCCTCGTCAGCCCTGCTGACGAGGAGGGGCTGCGCGACTTGCTGCAGTCGCTTCTTCATGGACAGCAGCTGCCTGTGCTGCTCGTCCATGGCGTGCTGGATGTCGCGGGAGTTGTCGTTGGACGTCTGCGTCTCCCGCATGATGTCCTCCAACATCGCCAGCGAGCTCGTCAGCCCTCCTGATATCGCCACCGCCATCGCCAAGGTGCTGCTATCCTCTTCTCGCGGGCTCCGAGGAAGGTTGGCTCGCCAGGCAGGAGCAGGGGAGCATTCAGAAACCTTGAGCGCGCTCTTGGGCACTGAGGAGGAGGAGGATGAAGGTAGATGCAGGCGAGGAGAGATAAGGTGGGCCTGGACGTAGATGGGACGAGCTTCCTTGGTCTCCTGCCACCAGCACACGTGCGACGGTGAAGTCAACGAGCCAGCAGGCGGGTGAGAGGACGCCATGCCTGCCGTCACATCAGTCCCCCGCGACCTCCTCGTCCCTGTAGTCCCTCTCCTATGACCCTCTTGAAAACTTCAACGGTGACTTCCCTTTCACATCCTAATCGCCATGCCATACCTTGTCTCTCAATTCCCCTATATCTCAACTCTCCTCGTCTTCTCCTCGTCTTCTCCTCGTCTTCTCCTCGTCTTCTCCTTGTCTCCTCCTCGTCCTCTCTCTCCTGCTCGCCCTCCCCTGCCATGGTCGCAGGGCCCTACCTTCAAACCACGGGCCTCATCCCATCTCTGATCGACCCCTAACGGCCGTTGGATGCGCCCTCGAGGCTCATAACCTGAAATTTCAACGCCGGAGACACTCGTAGGCTACCGTATGGTGTGACTGCGAATGACCGCGACCGGCTAGACGGATCCGTCTAGTCACATGGTATGGATCAAGATATGATACTGATATCATATCACACCCTAATCCATATCATACTACGATATGGATCCGATCACCGGGGCCGCCAGATCGGACTCCGAATGCCGCCCGCCCCACACTCTGTGACTCGGCGGTACAGCCCACTGAGCGATATAAGTGTGGGGTCACCTCTAGATTCACTCTCTGTCTTCTCTCTCTCTCCTCTTAATATCTCTCGTCCTCCTTCTCTCCTTCCTTGCTTAATCTTTACTTACTCCGCTCCTTTCTTGAACTCTCTTCCTCTGCTTCATAAATACTCTTATCCCAAAAGTCAATCACCTACCTGTGATCAACCTGCACTCTACTTCGCTACTGCATACAATCCATCAGTACTAGGGCCCGTACAGCAACTTAGGAACGGGTCGGATCATCGGAACAGATGATCGGTTGGATGGTTATGAAGTGTTCTATCAATCGAGCAGGTGTTTTCTACAGGTTTCCGTACTTGGCTTCATACTCTTCTATGAGCTGCTCAGAGAGACGGAGCGCTTCCTGCGAGCACATTAGAGGCGTTGAAGGAGAGGAAAACAGATTGACAAGACCAGAGGGGCTGAGAAGAAGAGGTGGAGAGAAAAAGGGGTGAAAGGGAGAACGAAGCAACAATAGAACGGCGGGGAGAGGCGAGGCAAAAAGAAGCGAGGAGCAGGAGCAGGAGCAGGAGCAGGAGCAGGAGCAGGAGCAGGAGCAGGAGCAGGAGCAGGAGCAGGAGCAGAGGAAGGAGAAGGAGCCAAACCTCAGCTTCTGCCTCAAGCTTGTCTGCTCTCAAACTCTCGTCTGCGGCTTCTTTCTGCCATGCGAGCATCAGTTGCTGCGGCCATCATGATTGCCTCACAAGCAGGGCAGCTGCGTCGACAGACGAATTGATGGCAGATTTGGAGTCAGCCAGAAACTTGAGGCTGTGAGCAGATCTTCGAGTCAGAAGCAGCTCTCCCTCCCTTCCCTCTCATCCCCCCCAACCTCCACCCTTCTCTCTTGCCCCCCACCCTCCACCCTCCACCCCCCCTCTGTCTCTCTCGTTCTCTTCGTCGCTTCTTGACCTGATCTTGTCCATGCTCTCCAACTTGGACGACACTTCTTCCGACTTGCATCAATTTAGTGCAAGGGGATCATGCTTACGTGTTCTACCCTCGCTTGTGAAAGCTCAGCCGCATCTTGGGCTTGCGAGGACATCTCATCAGCCTGAGTTTCTTCAAGTGAGAACATGTCATATGGCAAGGGCCTACAAGATGCTCACCAGTTGTCGCGCTTCCAGGGCTTCCTTCCACAACCGCTCCGCCTTTGTCACAGCTGCCTCCACTCTCGCCTGCGACAAGATGAGAGAGATGCATGCAGAGGAGGAGACGGCGAGACCTCGAGCTGTCTCTCTGTCTCCCCCTTCTCCTGCATCCGCCATCTCCTCACGGCAGAGAAGCTCGGACGGGTCAGCGCATGAGGTGGTGGCCTCCACGAAGACGGTGCAAGGCGAGGAAGAGGAGTCAGGAAGCTCTCTGCGAGAGGAGGGAGGGCGAGGGTCAGCAGCAAGGAGAGGGAGAGAGCGCGTGATGCCCCGGGACGTCGACGAGGAGACGAGGAGACGAGGAGACTGACGAGCCCATGCCCCCCGCCCCTGCTCGCCTTCACCATGTTGGTAACCGCGATTGTGGAAGACCCGATAACAAATCCGCCAGAAAACCGCTTATAACCGCTGCAAGAAAAGATGCAACGGCTGCAACAGAGGAGAGCAGGCGAAGTTGAATGATGAGATGAGCAGAGAAGGAGACGAGTGAGCGAGCGGAGGACAGGGAAAGAGACCAAGAGAAGACAGGATGAAGCGAGAGAGGAACGTTGAATGAAGAGGAGCAGGTAGGAGATAAGGAGGGCAGAAGAGGAGAGGGTCATGTGGTCCAAGAGGAAACAATCTCTGCTGCTGCTGCTGCTGCTGGGCATCTCTCTTGGTAGCCATCTTGCGGAGGTCTCGCCTTCCTCTCGCCTCACCTCCAGCTGCCCCTGGTTCCTAGACTTCGAGGTGCCCCTGCTGGATGAAGACTCTCACGAGGACCGCGTGCTGGCTCAGCTCTCCTTCCTCCAGCAACGGAACTCGACGTGCGATCATAAGCAACAAGCTCGCGTGGAGGTGCGATCAGCAGCGCCTGATCGTGAAGAGAAGGAGAAGAAGAAGCGGAGGTGCCTCCCCCCTCTGTCCTCGACCAGTCTCACCCTGCTGTGCACCAGGACGCTTAGGGCAGGAGAGGACACAAAAGGGCGGTTCGCAAGCTCTCGGACAAGACAGGAGGAAGGGGATGGAAGCAGGAGACCTCTGACGGTCAGTTGTCAGTCTCTGCACGATCTCGCTGACCTTTACTTGCTAGAGCTTGAGGCCACGCGAAAGGAAGCATCCATGACATGGTTTACGTCAGGCGCTTTACGAGCCCGTAAGTAGCGATGGAGGCAGCTATGCTCTTTCTCATCATCTTCCTCCTCCCCCTGCAGACTTCTGCTCATCTGGAGTAGCCATGCGCTCTTATGAAAGACCATCTGGCAGCAACGAGAGCTCTCCACGAGCTCTGAGGTTGATCAACCCACAGGCATTGTCAACCCACAACAAGCTCCTCCCCAGGGAGCCATTGCTGAACGCGAACGACCTCTTGCTGCAGAAGTTCTGGAGCGTACGGTATGCTTCACGCCAAGTCCCGGGACGATCGCTCGCTGAGTTCTCGACAGTGATTGCTATCAACATATCTGATTGCAATTGCTGTGAACTAGGATAACGGGAGCAAGAGAATTTACAGCTGATATGCTATCAAAGCCCTAGCACAGCGAGCTCAACTCAGATTGGACCTACCCAAGCTAAGGGACAGCACTCCAGGCTAGGCTTAGCCTTGATGGTCAACAGAGTCAGGCAAACGACTCTCAAAGGACTGAAAACATGTAACGGCTAGATGTACTCTGAGGATGACGCTTGGTGGCCACGTGAGCCTCTTTAGTAGGGGTGGTTTCCTCATTCCTGGTAAGAGGAGGAGCAGCAGTTGCGAGAAAAATCCTAGTCCTTGCCTTAGCCTATATAAGGATCAGCGTCTTCAGCTAGAAGGGTCTGTTCTCTCCTCATGTTGTATGCCACGCTGATCCAGCATCGCTAGTAAGCTCGACATCACTACACTACACCTTTGTGTGTGATCCAGCAGAGGTGCCTTGAGCAATCACTGTAGACATCTGCAACCCGCAAGGCTTCAGGGTGTGACATTCGCTTGTGTTTCTCTATGTTCTATACAAGATTTCATCCCAATCGTCATCTCACAACGAGTAGACCCGGCGGAGTGTTGACCCTGCATGGGTTCCCATGCTTCGAGCACGCCGAGAAGCAGCTATCGCCTTTGCCTCCCACTCGAACATTACAAACGCTTCCTCTGCTCCTGCTGTGGATTGACTTTCTGGGGGAAGTGTCCTGGACGAGGCTCCAAGAGCCGATGGTGCGCTGCCTGCTTGTGCTCTCATATCCCCGCCACCCCCTTGCCATGCCTTGGACCAGCTCGATGGGAGACCGAGAAGAGCGGACAAGCACCTTTCAGACTCGGAGTGCGCTTGAGAGAGGACGGCAAGGAAGTTAGTGGAAGGAGCTGCGACAGAATCTCCCTCCTCCACCAGCTGAGACATCCTGGCGAGGTGATGAGTAGATGCTATGTTTAACCGCATTCGTGAAGGGCTGGAGAAGTCTTGCTGCTGCTCGGATTTGAGCCACTCCTCTACTTTTTGAAGCGACTGTTTCTCTTCCTGAGAGAGGGAGTGCATGGCAATACCAAGGGAGGAGGGCGTGGAGGGCTTGATAGCTGATAGAGAAGGTGATAGTGATGTTGACCCAAGCTGTGATGATGGGCTGAGCGACGGCGACAGGTCGAGGAGTGGTCAGGAACAAACGGGGCAGTGTCACGAGAGGGGGGTCACTGAATAGAACCATCGTATACAAGTATTTTAGCAGTCGATCAATAATGGTCATCACTGCAGGGATTGTGTGGTAAAGAGTCAGCTTAGCTTCTTGCCCGACGGCCCGGAGGCTCCGTGGGCCGTAACTGCGGCTGCTGACTAAGTGAACTTTGGTAACCTGGCATCCGGCTGACCGCTTTCGTATAGGCCGAGGCTGACCGCTTTCGTATAGGCCTCGGACCTCCGAGGCTCCGGCGAAGTGACTGAGCACATTGCCAGTACAACAAGGCCGCCTGCATGATGAAATATCTCCACTTGGAATTAATGTTCGGTGTTCTGAGCCCGGCCTGCGGGTCTCTTCTTGCCAGCCCCACTCTTTCTTCAGAGGCTGATTCGTTCCCGAGTCCGCAGTTCTGTGCACTGCCATCTCCCTTCTGCTGTTGAGAGTCCATCAAGTTGGCTCAACAGCAACATTCATCTCTGTCTCCGAACTGACTTGGAAAAGTCACAATTGGTCTCCGGCGGCGGCCAATTGTCATCGGTTTCAGTTTGGCAGAAATGGATTTACTGGCAGAAGGTAAAAAGTGCCTCAAGCAAAATAAAGCAGGAACAAGCTAAACCTCCCAGTGGCACACAGCGCACAGCGAGAAGCTGCACAATCACACACAAAACACAAGCCCGAAAAGGGTTTTGCTTGAGGCACTTTTTACCTTCTGCCAGTAAATCCCTATCTAAGTGTCGCTGTGGCGCCGCGGTGTGTGCATGCAGGTTTAGGCTAGCGAGGAGGACTACCTCGAGCGGTACCGTGTTCCTGTGTCCAGCCTCCCTCCGTCCGCTGCCCCAGGCGGATCGGACCCCCGGGCAGCGCCGGCTCCTTGTCGGCGGCTGCCCTTTCTCCGTCCGCGGCCGCCCGCTTTGTGGCGGCAGCGGACGTCTCGACTGACAGTGGTCAGTCGGCTGCTTCCGGGTAAGGGATGTTATTCCTCCTGCATGCTCCTGCTGCTTGTTGCTTGATTGCCTGACCCTTAGGCTGCTTGTCTGCGCGGCTTCGCGTGTGGGCTGGCGATGCCGGGTCTGCTGACGGTTGCCAGCAGTGCTGGTTCTTTTCGGGCTTGTGTTTTGTGTTTTTACCTTCTGCCAGTAAATCCTACCGTACTCTCGCCTTGACTCGGACCCCTCTGTCCATCGGGCCTCCGCCCTCGAGAAGCACCAACGCTGGCCAAACTCGCAGTACCGTGACCCGGGAGTCGCCGCGCACCCCGACCTGCTAGAGTTTGCGAGGTTCAAGCGGGAGCTTCCGCATAGTCGGGGAGGGGACGAGTTCACGCCCTCTGAGGGTCTACACCCCGCTGTCCTAAACGGAGGAGATAGGATTTACTGGCAGAAGGTAAAAAGTGCCTCAAGCAAAACCCTTTTCGGGCTTGTGTTTTGTGTGTGTTTGTGCAGCTTCTCGCTGTGGACTGTGTGCCTGGAGGTTTAGCTTGTTCACTGCTGGCACCCAGACGCGGCATCGCCAGCCCAAGCGCGAAGCCGCGCAGACAAGCAGCCGAACGGTCAGGCAATCAAGCAACAAGCAGCAGGAGCATGCAGGAGGAATAAAATCCCTTAGACGCGATACCCGGAGGCAGCCGACTGACCACTGTCAGTCGAGACGTCCGCTGCCGCCACAAAGCGGGCGGCCGCGGACGGAGAAAGGGCAGCCGCCGACAAGGAGCCGGCGCTGCCCGGGGGTCCGCCTGGGGCAGCGGACGGAGGGAGGCTGGACACAGGAACACGGTACCGCTCGAGGTAGTCCTCCTCGCTAGCCTCCGAGTCAGCGGTAGCCGAGTCAGTGGTAGCCGCCCGTGACGGCGGCGACGCCGCGGCAATGCCCAAGGACCGGAGTGGGGGGAGGTCAACCTCGACGCCCTCCATGTTGCAGCGTCTGAGAAAATTCGCAAACACCGCGCTGCATATGCCATGACTACTCCTCCTCGAGCGTTCATCCCTCTTGCCATCTCGACGGACGGTACCCTGCATCCTGACACCCTCCGCGTCTTCTGCCAGTAAATCCTATACTGCTTCATCTGGTATCTCGCGGACATCATTGCTCAGCGCTCGATGCCTCTTGAGGATGCGGCGTTTGGTCGGCACTTCGTGCCTGATGACGGACATGCTGCTGAGGTCTTAGCTCGCAAACGCGCCGCCACCTATCAGCGCCTCACCATGCAGCTTACGCTGGAAGCGCTCTTGTCTGGTGCGAGGCGCATGACGCCCTTGCGGGCGCAAGCACTTCTCGAGCCAGAGGACAGCTCCTCCTCGGACTTTGTCGAGTCGCCCGAGGAGTCTTCGCCGGAGGTCTCCGACTCCGATGGGGGACACCCTTCGAGTCAGTAAATCCTATACCTCCCTTCGAGTGGCCCCGACGATCGGCGCGGAGCTGGCGAGGCGTCTCCGTCCCTCACTGTGACGTCGGGTGCCTCCGGAGAGCTCGACACCACTGGGGTGCTTGCTGCTGGTCCGAGCTCGCCTGCTTCCTCCCCGGCATCGGTCGGGTCACGCCGGTCCTTGGGCATTGCCGCGGCGTCGCCGCCGTCACGGGCGGCTACCACTGACTCGGCTACCGCTGACTCGGAGGCTAGCGAGGAGGACTACCTCGAGCGGTACCGTGTTCATGTGTCCAGCCTCCCTCCGTCCGCTGCCCCAGGCGGATCGGACCCCCGGGCAGCGCCGGCTCCTTGTCGGCGGCTGCCCTTTCTCCGTCCGCGGCCGCCCGCTTTGTGGCGGCAGCGGACGTCTCGACTGACAGTGGTCAGTCGGCTGCTTCCGGGTAAGGGATGTTATTCCTCCTGCATGCTCCTGCTGCTTGTTGCTTGATTGCCTGACCCTTAGGCTGCTTGTCTGCGCGGCTTCGCGTGTGGGCTGGCGATGCCGGGTCTGCTGACGGTTGCCAGCAGTGCTGGTTCTTTTCGGGCTTGTGTTTTGTGTTTTTACCTTCTGCCAGTAAATCCTACCGTACTCTCGCCTTGACTCGGACCCCTCTGTTTTGCTTGAGGCACTTTTTACCTTCTGCCAGTAAATCCTATACTTCCCCCTCGGCGCGGAGCTGGCGAGGCGTCTCCGTCCCTCACTGTGACGTCGGGTTCCTCCGGAGAGCTCGACACCACTGGGGTGCTTGCTGCTGGTCCGAGCTCGCCTGCTTCCTCCCCGGCATCGGTCGGGTCACGCCGGTC